TGGGCATGTTGCGGGGTACAGAGGGGGTACAGATGACACAGCCTGGCCCTCAAACCCTGGACTGGGGTCAGGTTGGCCTAGGTGCCTGGGCCAGTGCCTGCCCCTCCCTGGGCCTCAGTCGTCAGCTCTGTAAGATGGGGAGAGCAGAGGCCTCTACCCCACAGGCTGCTGAAAGGGCCCAGTGGGATAGAGCATGAACAGAGCTTGGCAAGGAGGCTGGCCCTCAGCCACTGCTGAATCAACGTCCTGTGTGTAAGTGGTTTTCAAGACACACACACACTGGGGGGCTCAGGGAAGGGAGCCCACAGTCAGCCGGGGGTCAGAGGAGGCTGCCAGGAGGAGGCAAGCATGGTCAGGGTGTGCTGGCAGAAGGAGAGGCCACAGACCAGAGTCTGGAAGGCGTGCAGCCTTGGGGGTCTGGCTTGGCTGAAGCAGGGAGTATGTGAGGGGCAGGAGGAGGCAGGAAGGCAGAGTAGAGTTTTGAACGACCGGCAGGGAGGCAGGGACCCTCGGCTGGCTCAGAGCCTCCCAGGTTGAATCCGCTCCCAGCCTGGCCCCGTCCTGGGCCCCCCGGTGTCTCAGGGGCAGCAACGCCCCCAGACGCAGCCAGCCTGTCTCTCCCACTCTGCCTCCCCCCTTTCCTTGCTTCAGGGAGAACAAGGGTCATTTCAGCCCTGTTCGGAGCTGGATGCCTACCCCAGGGCCAGCTGGTCAGCCTCCAGGCTCCAGGTCTCAGACCAGAGTAGCACACGGGCCACCCCCACCCCACCTCTATGCTGCCCTCCTGGCCCCACCGTGGCAGCAGCTCAGTCTCAGCCTTTCAGCAGAGGCTCCTGGGCTGCCCCAGGACCAGCCACCTGTCTCCCCGCCTTGGGACCGTCTTCCTCAGCCCCCTTCCTCGCTGCAACACAAGCACGTCTCTCCTTTCCCTCTCTCTACCACCTCCCCCTCTGGTTTCCCTTCCTCAAGCGCACAACCCTGGCCTGGAGTTTACAGCTGCAAAGCGCACACACACTCATGCACAAAACCAACTGTGGAATGTTTTCCCGCTTCTGAGCGGAGTCTGCAGCTCCGACCGTTCTCTCTTCCACTGTCTCTCCCAGCAAGTACTGCTCTTTTCCACGCCTGCTGAAGGCTGGGGCTCGGGGCTGGGAGCTGAAGGCTGGGGCTGGGGGCTGAGGCTGGGGC